TTTCAAGTCGGGTTAATTAAAATGCCTTGCTGGGGATTTCAAACCTTGCTGTTTTTCAATAGCTTGTCCTACACACCCCCGTTCCGCTCCCCCAAAACTTTGTTTCTTTGATTTAAATCCGTAAAACCCTCAAAAGGTCTACTTGTGTTGCATCTGGCTGGTTCCATGAAAAACAAAACAAAAAAAAGCCAATGGGGGGAAACTGTGTGGCCAGCCAAGCCGGAAAGTGATAGACTTAGCAAAGATTTGATAATTAATAACAATTTCTGGTCAGACAGAATTTCAGGAAAGAATCAAAAACAGACCATCAGGCAATCACAGTGCTGTGAGAGATGGATGCTGGCCAGCACAGGGTCAGCTCTGTCAACCGCAGTCCCATGAAGACCGAAGGCTGCAGTGTCTACAGGCCTGGCTGTGATGTCTACAAATAGCTCTCCGATGGCCAATCGCTAACGGTTGCTCCTGGTTAAAAAGTACAAGTTCAGTCCAAAATTTCTTAAAACCTCCCAAAAGAGAGTCTGATGAATGCTAGTAGGACGTCACTATGTAAACAGCTCTTGAGCAGCAGACTGAAAGAGGCAGAGGTCAGTGCATGTGGCCTGCATATGCTGGACTCAATCAGGATGCTGATCTCAGAGGTTGGTGTTAATTACAGATTATTACTGAACCACAAATGTAGTCCGGGCAGGACCGTTTGGTCGGGGAGAATCTTAATAATGAGTGACGGCTTTGCTGTATGTTTGAGACTGCCTATGAGGTCACAGTTGGAGATGTCAATGCGAAAATTTGATTTGTGTTTTTGTGGGTGTTGTTTTTGGTTTCTTGTTTGATTAGATTAAAGCACGCTGAGATGAGCGAGAACATTAGACTCTTGCTAAGACCTCTACGCAAGTAACCTATAATCATCCCATCACAAAAAACCTTATTCCCTTGGATGGATATTGGTCTAGCCCCTGAGTGAGTCTCTGGGAACAGTCACGGGAGGAGTGTAAAGTTTATCAACTGCACTGAGAGACTTGCATCTGACCACACGAACATTACTTCTCCATCTCCCCGTATGCAGATGAAATTCCGGTCGAAGGAAAAATTGAGGCAGAAGAGCCAACAGCTGGCCGCTCCTCTGAGTTCTTTTGAGCATTCGGGTCCATGATAACTCCCTAGTAAATTGGATCATCAATCTTCCAGTCATACCGGTGGAAAAAGTCTTACATTGTAGCGTCAGTGTTAGCCACATATGGAACTGTTTATAGGCTAATCCTGATAGAGGCACGATGAGCGGAAGGGCACCAGATAGATCCCACCTCCCACCCATCCAGTCCTCATCCCATTCTCTGAAAAAGATCAACCATATTAACCACTTCCACATTACAAAACCTTTATGATTGTAGCACTGAGCCCATCTAATTGTGCACTTCCTACAACTGGAAAGAAAAGGCCTTGGATGTTGTTGTTTTTGTTGGAGTTTCTCCATTCAGTTTCATTCCCATTGTTCCTAGTCCACACTGAGCGGCATTACGTAGGACGCACATCGTTTTAAACATTCTTTTGCCTGCCAGCCGTGAGTAATTGAAAAGAAGCGATTGGGAAATTCTGCAGGAATGCTTGTGTCCCAGGGTTCAACATGAAATGTTGAAAAAATTCTGACATCAGAGTCAGGTCAAAGATCAACTCCGTTTAAAAAAACACCTCAGGTTTGGCATAACCAATGATGTCTGCAGGGCTCGAGCAGTTCCCATGGAATGTGAGCTTGTAGAATTACAAACAAATCATTCTGCAAGGCAACATCTGGCCATAGTTTCCCCATGTGTTTGTTTGCTAAAACTGAAGGACAAGAATCAAAAAGAGCGTATACACGTCTAAAGCTCTTTTACCATTCTGTGGATTAGCACACAACTTGAGCCGAGCCTTTCTGGCTGTCTGAAACTCACGGGGCCCAGGCCCTGACAGCATATGTGTCCGAAGGACCCCAGGCTGTTGTTCCTGGCAGGCCCCTGTCACAACTCTCCACCTCCCGATACTCTCCCCTCTCCGCCTCCTGCCCGCCCCTGTTCGTATGAGCTAGGACAATGTGCATGTAATTAGCAGTTCTGTGTGGCAGCAGCAGCTGAGGTCTTGTTGCCTCATGGGCACACGCAGAGTTGGCTCTGGAGACTCGCACACAGGAAGCTTGGGCCTCTGGTTGAAGTGGCCACTGTGCAGACAGCAGGATGCTACAGAGGGAGGCTGTTTTTCCAATTATCACCCAGCAGCAGTTCACAGAGGTGCCAGACAACAATGCAAACTGATGCCTGAGAGAAATAAGCAACTTCCCATTCGTGCTCCGTTTGCTTGTGGGAAAGAATTAAGATCCATAATGTAGGTTAACAGCCGTTGGCTGGGATACAAATGGGACAAAAGTGGAAATCTATGAGCCATAAAGTACATTTTGCTGTGGACTTAAATGTTTGACTGTTTTTCTCAGTTCTGTGTTAGCTAAAGGGAGGAAATTTCCACCCAGGAAGATGAGAAATCCTTCCCTGCTCTTCTTGGTTACAAAGCTACAGAGCAGAACGACAATGTAAAATGCATACAAACTGACAAAGAAAGGGAATATATGGAGTGAGGGAAAATCTGTATGAGGCAAACCAACCCCCTTCCCCCTCACGGCAAACGGATAGGCTGAGAGATTTACGTAATTGCTGAAAAGTTTGGATTTCTTTTAATGTTCAAGTGTTCCATTTAAAAGCAGTCTCATGTCTCATGGTATGCTAATGGCTTTTTTCCTCAGACAGGTCTTTGGCTAGCCCTTTCCCTTCCCTGCCAGAAGTGCTGGTCTACACCATCCATGCCAAGATTTTCCATAATCTGGCCACTCGCTTTCCATTGGGTGCAATACATAAAATGGAAAGTTCAGTTTAATGTCAACTGTCCGGCCTTAACTCACAAAACTTGTATCATTTTACAAATAAGATCCTTTGTTTTGACATTTATAGTGCATATTTCATTGCTATGTGTAGTTCAATGAAACTGTGGGTCAATTCAATTTGATGACTAACCTTTTAACTTATTTCAACTTTTTTCAGAACAGCCAAGTTATGATTAAAAGATAAGTCACAATGTATTTTCTTGTTCAATTTGTCTTATTTGTAATGTCATGTGCTCGGTTTTTAAATACATTATGACTGTGTATGTTTTTCTGAAAATGTTCAACCTAAGGGCAGCTGTTATTTTTCTCAGCCTCTCAAAGCGCACAAGCATCCTGTCTGCAGCCCAGTTCCTTGAGAATTGCAAAGAAAATGACACTCTTCCTTAATAAAGACATACATTTGAGTGCGTAAGACAGAAACGCTTCTGCTGCCGTATAGCCTGATCGTGCTTAAGTGTGCAACATGGCTGTTTGAGGGTCACTCCGTGGGTAAGAGTTTTTCACATGAAAGTCTGACCTTTGAGAAGCTGATAGACAGCTCAGACACATGTAGAGTATTGCTCTCCCTATCACGCTCATTCTCCACAGCGTTCCACAGGTGGAAGCTCTCTGGACATTCCTCACTCCTGACGTGAACAAGTGAATAGAATAAAGCAGTCTGTAAATCTAGCACATCACCCTTATTGACACAAATCACAGATTTATGGACTCGCGGCCATGTGTGTGTGCATTAAAGGAAGTGTAAAGCACATGTTTTGCAGCTTAACTTCACGCACGTACCTGCAGCCTTCAGCAGACGCTTAATGCACCACACTTTGCTTTCGGAAGGAATAATGTAAGTAAATGAATCTGGCATATGGGCGTTGATTCAATTGATTCAGTGTGTTAAACAAGGATTCTATGCTACTCGTTATGGGTCTGAACACAGCGTTTAAACATTTAAATTGAGTGAATCTTTAACCTATCTAGACATCTGTTGTCTTTTACTGACTGGAGTGAATACTTTCTGTGTAGCACTTACCTTTATTCTATTATTAAAAGTAACTTGCTCTGACAAACTATATTTAATGTCTTTAACTTGACTTTTTTGCATGCATGCATGTATATAAGGCCTGCATCATGCATATTTCAGGTGAATATACAAAGAAAGCATCTGGAATGAATGACAAACCATAGCTGAAAAAAATACAACTCCATAACCACTCTAAACTTCACAATATGGTGAAACCAGTGGTTTCTCACTGTGAGGAAGGAAATTGAGTTTAGATGTAGTTTCTCACCAGACGAGGGCACTACGACAGCAACATGTGGACTAAAAATCATGAAAAAAAGAAACAAAATCGTGAAACTATTTAAAGAGTGATGTGACTCAAATTATCTGCACAAAAATAGATAAATTGCTTAAGATATTTTTGCAGTATCTGAATCACTGCATGATACAGTTAAATATATTTGCCTTCATAAATCTCCATATAGCCTATAGTTCATATATATATATATATATATATATATATGTATAATAACAACAAATGCAAATTTAACAACATTAGTAATAATCATACTTTCTCAGTTAAAACAGGTATTTTTTGGTTGTGTTATTAATTTATTTTATTATATATTTATTTATATATGTGTTCTTAATCACTGTAATCTCCGTGAACAAACCCTTCTTGCTGGTGAATATGGATAACCTTGTTGAAACATAAAATCATATCAGTCTTGTTTTATTGCGATTTTTATCTTTGTGATTTAAAAAAAAATATAGATGACACAAGTGTCTTTTCTTTTCGCATGGCGCTTTCTAATTCATAACTTCGTGTTCGTCCCTCAAAGTTACCGAGCGTTTAGAGCGGGCTGAGTTATTTGAAGCTGTCCCAACAACTTCTCGAGTCGAGACCCCAAATATCCCAGAGTGACATCACGCAGATTAGCCAGTAGGAGTGTGGAGCGCAGAGTTTGGGGGCTGGAAATCCAATAGGTACGAGCTCCGCTGAAGTTTCTCAAACACTATCAATGAGGATTTGCATGCTGGACCCAAAAATCGCAATTGGTGAAGAATGAGCAGGAATCGTTTTGGACATTTTGAATGATTTTGCGGACTTTTTAAGGGCTTTTTTCCTAGTTAGCGATGTGCATTTCTAACTTTTGATGCGCATCTGTATATTTCAGTGGTGTGGAGAGACAGATGAAACCTCGCGTTTGAATGCGCAAAGCTTTTTCTGATGCATTTCGAGAAGTTTTCAAAGTTGGAACTATTTTATGCTGGTATTGTAGCTCATCTTTAAGTTTTTCTTTTCACCCCTTGTCCTACCTGTATTTTTTTGCGCGCGGGATTTAATTGGCTGTGGACAAGACGCGGATACATATTTGTTTTTCAAATAGCCTATGCATTAGTTTATTTTGTTGTTTTTGCATATTTTTTTTCTTTTGCTATTGGGCTGCTCTCAGCCTCAGAGGATTTCTGATGCGGTGGGTGAAGTATTGGGGGACAGTGGCTGTGCTGTGCGGGCTGCTGTGCTGTGCTGTGAATGGATGCCCGCATAAGTGCAGTTGTTCGGGCTCACATGTGGATTGTCAGGGTCAAGGCTTCAAGACGGTGCCCAGGGGAATCCCGAGGAATGCCGAGAGACTGTAAGTATGCCTATTATCGCGTTACTTGAATACCAATAATGTAATGACAGCGGTGCGTACCTCTGTTCACAGACAGTGGCACCGTCGCGATTTCATGTATTGTGAGCGGGAGATGCAATTAAAGTTTTTTCTTCATCTTTTTACAGCTGTTGTTGGCTTGTAACATACAGTAGTGTCCATGCTACACGTATTGAATGGTATTAAACACTGAAGTAGGCTGGTAATTTAAATCAAAAGAAAATAACTGTTTTGAAGCTAAATAAACCCATTTTGGATACCAGTGAAGCTGCATGCCTTTTACTAAAAGGTATTAAAAAAAAAGTAAAAAAGCGCAGATGCAAGGATAAAGGTTAAAATATGTATTTATCTACCCAACGAACAAGCAACTGTGCTGAAAATAGAATGGTAATTCAAGAAGCAGTGCTTTTATTTTACTTGCAATTATGCTTTAAAATCAAAAATTTGATAATAGGAATTAATCCATCACAGTTGTGCTCTGGGTTTCCCACTGGTCAATGATATGATTACATGTATTGTGAACATTTGAGAGAGAGCAGATTTAATAATGCATCAATAATAAGCTCTTTAAAAGACATCATCTCTCAGATCTCTCTCAAACTGGAATAAATCAGCTTTGGTCTTGTAGCGTTTTACACTAGCTATGTAAAAAATGTTCACATGAAATCAAGACAGTCTGAACCCCATTTATAGTTGCACAACTCACTTCACATCAGTAACTCAACAGATCATTAAGTGAATGCAGGTCACAAATGTTACCACTGGGATTAAATGGGCTTTAATACAGTAATAGTATTTTGTGTAATATGGACACTATTGTAAAACATTACTATAATTTTCTTAATAAGATATGTTAAGCTGATAGAAGAAAATTGCATTATGTTACCTTTGCTCAGTTGGTCAGGTTTCCTCTTTAAACAGTGTTTTTGCAGTTGTTAAAGCAGGTCAGTTTTCTTCTTAAAGTGAAATATAGATTTAAAGCATAGGCTCGGTTTTTAACAAAATATTTATTTTAATATCAGTATAGGATATACTCAGTGTCATGTTTTTCTGTAGAGGATACAAATCCATTTTAAGTGCTGCAAGTTTTACGTTTTTTGTTTAAACTTACATAAATTCTATGTAGCCTGTTATAAACTGTCTAATGCATGAGGAGTTTCAGTGCAGAGTTTTGTATTGAGAGTTTGAAAAGTTTGGACTTGAGTAAAATCACATTTCATTGATTCTATCCAGAATATTCTAAATGAGGCTTGAGATATTATGTCCACATCTGAATGCTGAACAGCGTTGCAGCGGATTCTTTCATCCAGTATAATGAGTTTACACAAACATTAACATGATTAATGGACATATGGTGTGAGTGTGTGTATGTACCTTGGCTGTGTTCGTTGGGGAACCACAAGCCCGTTGAGGGGCGCACTGCAGCTGAAGACTGACTCTCTTATGTGTTTAGATTACTTCTAACCACTGGTGAATTTCACTGTGAAAATATCCTTAATTTCCTTGTTTCCACCTGCGGCACTTCTGTCGTGATAAGCCATGACAGTTCATTAAGTATCACAACCATCTGGTATAATATAATATTTTTGGCGGGATCTGATAGGAAAGCCTTCCAGTCTGTTCAGTGGCCAGAGGTCTGGTTGAACCTTCCAACCTTTAACCCCTAAAGGGCTTTTCAGTGGAATTTTTCATGTGGAGAGAAAAATAAATAAGGGTCTCATGACCCTCGGTATATTGGATTTGTTTTAAAATATACCATGTCAGGTTGAGTCTTGCTTAAACTAGAGACAGATGCAAGTCTTTGTTTTTGTTAATGACTTTACATATTCTCATAACCAGTTTTATTCATTGAAAACCAAGCAATTCATCCAGTGTTTTGCACCAAGCTTCGGCATCTGCAAAGTAGCAGTTTTCAAGACCCCTCAAAGTCCAGAAGCACCCGTCTCCACGTCTCCTGGGTACGATTAACACGCCACCAGGTTTCCCAGAGCACCCTGGAGTGTTGATTTAACTGTAATGACTGCACCTCTGCCCTAAGCAAGGCCTAGTTACCCACAATTCCAGAGTTCAGGCACATTTCCCTCTAATAAATGTGCATTTATTCGAAAGGCTTTTCTTTCTTTGACAGCTCATATGATTTTGCGCTCATTAGTAGATCCTGTCGCAACTGTAATATCCCCTTTCAGTCACTCACACACGCTCTTTCATCTCCCTCGCTCTAATTTGCACCAGTTACGCACACACTTTGTAGCATTTAATAGCAAATTCTCTTCGTCGGAGTCTTAGGCCCTCTTGCAGTTAACACTTTATTAACAATGTGGCACTTTGTGGCTGGTGTAGCGTGTTTGGTCTGCCGGATCAGGAGAGAATGGCAGCATTCCCTTCCTCTCATCACACTCTGGGTGTCTTAATGAAGTTTCGGTGTGAAACCGCCAACTCCTGCTTTCCCAACTGGAAGCTCCGCCCTCGATTGCATATCCGTTTGTCAGCGTTTGCTTATGCCGCATGTCAGTTTTTTATTATCGCAAAGAGTCAGTCAGCGGGATAGTGTGTGTGTTTGTTGTGTTGGTATTGGAGCGAATCAGGAGGTGGGTTTGTGGTCTCCGGTGCCCTGCTGACCTCAGTGGGCATATGAGGAGCATATGTGAAGTCTCTCGCTCGGTGCGCGGCCGTTCACACACTGCAGTCTGCCAGACAGCTGCTGGCACTGCTTGTGGGCAAAGTCTTCGGGGAAAGATTCGCCACCCAACTTTAGTAAAAAAAAAAAAAGGTTTCGTGCACGGAAAATATTTAATGTGTCTCATTTCAGGCAGTACATCAAAGCTTAGTGCTGTCTTTGGTGAGTCTGGGAGCCAGCAGACCTCTCGTCACAAAAGTCTCGAAGAGGTCACTCCGAATGTCAGGGACCCAGAAGTCTGTGAATCTTCCAAGCTTGTGTCATACTTTAATGGAAGGCTGGATTCGATAATGCACATGCCTCCAGGCCATTTCAGGTTTACGAGGGATCTTGTTTTGCGCACTTTGTCACCAGAGCAACACATCAAGAGCTTCGTTATTCTCATCAGTACATCTTGTTAGTTGTGGCTGAGTGTAGCTAGAAGTGACAGTGTTTATCCTAAGTTAACAAATATGAATAGAACCGTGTGTGGTTTTATGATTTCGTTACTGTGATGTAAGGATCACGGACTCAAACACTCGGTTGCAGCTAGCAACCAGTAAACAAAAGAATCAAACCAGAGTTTCTGAATGATTTGATGAGGGTTTTGCTAGGCTTTCGGTAGGCAGAAAGGACTCTAATGAAGTGTTGGGGAGTAGAAGTAGTTCATTTTTTCAGACGTCACATAGTGATGTAGTGTGACAAAACAATACAGTACATCTGTGTATTTGTCACATTGTATTTTGCAGCCATGAGAAAATGTGCTCTCTTCTAACTGTTCTTTTTTGTGATGTTTGATTCATTTAGTGAATCATTTTGTTTAGACGGTTCATGTAAGTGTTTAAAAATGATTCACTGATTCATTTGAGTCCCTACACAAGATTTTACACCCCATTTAGTTAAATGCTGACGTCTATTGTGTACCCATGTATATAATTTATGATTTTTCTAGTTCACTGCTTGTATTTAGGTTACATGTACGTTTAACTGCGATTTAATGCTTCAAGTCACATTATCTGAAATATTTTAAAAAGATAGTGTCTTCTTACATATTCAGAGTTGTTTGCTACATAGTGTAGCTAACTAACTTTTCAAATAGTAGCTTCACTAAAAGTTTAGCCTAGGAAGTAATGACTTCAAAGAAAACGCTCCCCTGCCTAACATCAGCTACGATACAAGAAAAAACAATTTTTTTGGAGAAATTTATACAGGAAACTTAATGGAAACAGAGCGCCACAAAGCCAAATAAATAAACCCATGGTGGCCTGGTACAGAGGCTGTTGTTCATATGGTCAGCTGGGACACTCATTTTTTGACCGTTCTTCCCGGTAATGACGTCTGCAGAAAGTTGGTGGGAGGGTATCTTTAGTTACCCCCGGAGTCCAAGATGAGACTTGTGTTATTGATGAGCCTTTTGTAGCCTTGCTGTCATATTGACTTTCACACAGACGTGTTGAAGATGCCCATGTCACCTCTCAGCCCAGCGTTACTCTAGTAATTTAAGAAGTCATATACTGTGCAAGAACACCAGGCCGTCTGCTCTATTAGCTGTCAGGGTTTGAAAATAAACCATCCAGGGGGTAAACTCTCAAAAAAAAAAGAAATTTGAAATAATTCATTTTTGTCTGCTCTGCTTAGTGTGAAGTGAACGTCCTTCGCATTCAGGCATGGCCGTAATGAGATGGAAACTGCCAACATTGCTCATAAACAATGAAGAGGAACTTAAAGACGCACTGGCTGCTTCATTTTCACTGCCTTCATCGTGAAACTCCAGTGATGAGTTGGCCTTTATCCCTATGCAAACTCCAATCCAATCTTTTCTAACAGTAAAACCAGATGATTTTATGTTTTTTTATCACAAATGGCTTTTACCAAAGACAATAAACAATCATCACCAGCCATGCCAGGTAATCAAAAATAGAAGATTGCATTTTTGTGGTTTTGGCTAATAACAGTGCGGTAAAACAAAGTTGTGTATGGAACCCTGTGACGATTTCAAGGAATATGGGATTGTTAAGAGCTTTTGAGGTGGTGGTAATATGTTGGGAGGTACACCTCAGGAATTCTGGGACAGGACTGCTTGTGTCCAGAGATGTATGGTAGCCACATGGCTGCTGGCTGCATGGCTCATGGGAGATGAAAGAGCGGTAATAAACCCCCCCTATTTGATCTCGCACAAGTGCAAATGAACAAGCGTTCTGGCGGCGAACTTTCAGAAAACTGGGAAAAGGAAAGAGGTATTTTCGCTTTCACAACGAAACACACAGCTTCGTCACAACATGGTGGCGGAGGCAGCAAAAATAAAGTTTTGGGCGGTGTTATGCAA